GAATGGTGATTACTAAAACGTCAACAAATAATAACATTGGTGCAGATGGGGTGAAAATGTGAAAAGAGAACACTTATACACTGTTGGTGGGAATGCAAATTGGTACAACCTCTATGGAGATCAGTATGGAGATTTCTCAAAGAATTAAAAATAGAAATACCATTTGATCTTGCAATCCCACTACTGGGTGTCTACCTAAAGGAAAATTAATCATTATGTCAAAAAGATACCTGCATTCACATATTTATCACAACATGATTCATAATTGCAAAGATATGGAATCAACCTAAGTGCCCATCAACCAATGGATAAAGAGAATATAGTATATATACATATATCATAATGTACTACTCAGCGATAAGAAAAAATAAAAATAATGTCTTTTGCAGTACCTTGGATACAACTGGAGTTTATTATCCTAAGTGAAGTAACTCATGAACAGAAAAGTAAATCCTGTATGTTCTCACTTACAAGTGGGAGCCAAGCTATTGCTATGCAAGGACACACAGAGTGATATGATAGACATTGGAGACTCAAAAGAGTGGAAGGGACAGGGGATGAGGGATGACAAATTTCCCAGACTTCACCATTATACAATATATACATGTACCAGAATTCAACTCGTATCCACTCATTCTATTAAAAAAAAAACAAAACCTAACCAAGACTCCACTTAGGGCTCCTATTTTCAAGGTCTTGCATCTACATGTTGGAAGTTCCTGATCCAAGAGAGAAAGTGTCTGGCACTGCAGAAGGAAGATAATTGAAGCCTGCACTGAACTCCTCTGGACTCCTTGCTGTGAGGTAACCATTGGCTAAGATGCGTATTCTTACTAGAATATTAGTGCTACATTTTATCATTTTCCTTCACTAACGTGTAGATTTGTAATAATTGTGGTTGAGTCCTGTGAGTCTTCTTTACTGTCTTCTCAAGTCTTCTGTAGGGCTACAATGACTTTATCCTCCTAGGTCTGATAGCTGGATGTATGGGCGCAAAACGGACAAGAGGTAGATTAAAGGCAGAAAAGGTTTACAACTATATTAATTTTTAACATTATGTGCACAGGAGCATTATAGGAAAAAAGCTAATACACTCTCACCAAAGCCATAAGATTTAAGAGCTTATATACCATCTTAACAGGGTAAGGGGAGGAAGACATAACCTCTTAGGAGAGTCTCAGTGATTTGGGGGGAAGATGAATTGGCCCTTAGAAGAATAGATAGAAGATATGATAGTTTGGGACAAATTTTGTCGGTATGTGGTATTGATTTTTAGGCTCCACTTCTGTAATAAGAGTCAATCTTACTGGTTGATGAAACTCCCTGGGAGAGATTTATGACAATTGAATTTCTTTTGGAGGATCTATCTTTAGACAGATGAGGGGAGTTCAAAGAAAGTCTCTCCCTGCATTTGCTGTTTTCCAAATGTCTTCACCTGAAGATAATCAATATGCCAGAGCAGCATATTTTGAGTATATTTTGGCATGGCATGTCCTGAACTCCTTCACAGTCATATTTTGGGATGGGATATTTTGATCTCTAACACTTTGACCACTGTTAGTATGGATTTCTTAAGCTATTTTTGTGCTGGTTTGACAAAACCCTCATAGATACACGTACATCATTAGCCTCTTTCGTAGGTATGTTATCTCTTTTCTTACCCCATTTTATGATGACTTCTACTCTATTTTATTCTTGAAATCCACCATGGTTTTGAATAAGACAAAGAGTTGAAAAGGCTGGTGCCATAATAAAATATTAAAGTATATTTTTGAAATTGAAAAGATAAATACTGCAACACTCTCTACTACTGGGAAAACACCAGTAGCTCATTGTAGGAAATGGCTTTTTTAGTGGCAAGGCCAAAGAACATATTTCTGGAGACTCGAAGAGATATTTTGGTGTTCTACCAATGTTGCACCACCACTCAGAATTCCCCAGTGAAATTCTCCATTTTAGACAAAGTTTTCTTGCTATGATCATTAAAACAGTACCATAGTACTAAAACAAATGTGGTTGTTCACCAGCATTCTAGTTATTCCTTTTCTGGGTATCACTTTCCATCACTTTGAACTTAGACACAATCATATGACTTTTTTTCCAATGAAATGTCATCTAAAGTGATATAAATCTCTTCTGGATAGGAGTAATAAACAGGACACAATTTTCCAAGTTCCCTCTGGAGATACTGAAAGCACATGACAATATGGAATCTCTTTCAGCCTGGGTTCCTGAGTAACTTGTAATGAGAAGTAGTGCCTGAGTGACTGTACTAGACATGTAGTGTGGGCAAAAAATAAACTTTTGTATGTTAAGCCATTGGTGGATGTTTTTTACTGCAGCATAAACTGGCCTAACCTAGCTAATACAGGGTGTTCCTGTCTTACATCTGAACTTCTGAGTTACATAAATTTTTGGAGAAAAGATTTGTTGACTGATTCTTCCATAAAAACTCCTCTTCCAAATTTTTAAAACTTTTCCTGTTTGTTCATGAATTTGAAACAACATCTTTATAAATTATACTTCATTTTTTTTATATAAATAGTTACACTAGAAAGGAATCTTCCCAAAAATCTGGGTGTTGAATTCTAAGGTTAAAATGGAACATATTTATTCCTTCAGGAGCCATTTATTTCTTCTCTTGATTTCTTGCAGTGATGTGATAACTATGTTTTCAATCAATGGCCTACTTCAGTGGTTATTGGTTACACCCATTTTTGCAAGATTACAAAAGGAACACAAGCAACAATAATTTTCAAATTCATTACAATGCCAGGGTTTATATGCTCTCATTAAGCATTAATTGGTAGTTGATGGCTATTGCTATTTTTAACACCATTAGTTCATAGCAATATAATTAGTAACGCTAAGTACAGGAACCACATTAATAGCATTACTAATTGTAAATCTAGAGATAGGAACACAACATGACTGGTTAATTTCTAGGCAATATCTCATGATAATTAGCTGTAGGACATTTGTGCTGAACTAGAAAGGTAAATAATTTAATTTTTTTTTACAATTTTTTTGTGGTTTGCAATACAAATACCACCCTTTAATGTATGGATCTCATTCTACCTTCTGATGTTAATATTTTTTTCTTTTTAGGGTCCTTTTGTGTGTGTGCTAAGCAATGATACATTTTTCTCCTACAAGAAAAATTTATATTCATTTTTAATTTTTTTTATTTCACCATATTATAGGGGTACAAATGTTTAGGTTACATACATTGCCTTTGCCCCAGCTGTTTCTTAAATTTATCATTCTATACCCAAGTTTCAAAAAGGAAATATCTTAAATGACTTACTGCTTATATTAATATTATATCGTAATTGGTTTCCAATGTTTAGTTTGATGGGCCCACTCTCCTCATTACTTTAGCAGCAAACTGGCTAACTTTATAATTTTCTCAAATGAAGTTTTGTGATAGTATAAATAAGGAGAAAATGTTTTCAAGTGATAATAAGTAAATGAAAAAAAAAAAAAACAACTAGAAATTCTATACTTACATTCATGCTGTTTGACATGTACTGATTCTTTCTGCAGTTATATTATATGGGGTTTAACCAGCTATAGGATGTACAAAGTCGGAGAACAATTCTTTAGTTGTTCTTTTATTTGTTTGCTGAAGGACAAGGTTTAGAAGGTAATTCTCTAACTTTTTTGTCTTTTCTTTTCAGAAGAATTTTGCTGGAATATGTATAAGGAGATTAGAAACAATATGATATTCTGCTATAGTCAAAAATATTTGAGTCATTGTGTAAGAAATCATAAAATACATTATTTAATTTTATACTAATCCTTCCAAAATTATTTTTGAGTTAAACTGTGAACTCTTCAGTGACAACATTGGTAAAATGCCATTTCAAGCATGTCTTTGTGTTTTGTGAATGAACTAGATTACATTTGAAAACATTGGTTTTCCTCTCTTGGCTTGATTTTCCTTATTCTTTTCACATCTGAGAGTCACCATGTGTATCTTGCTGCTTCATTGGTAAGGAGGGAAACAGCCAAAAATGATGACTTCAGCATGTTTAAACTGTGAAAGTGAGTAGATTCTATGATTTATGATTGGACAAAATCAGTAAAAATAAGTTGATTGGACATTCTATGATTTATGATTGGACAAAATCAGTAAAAAATAAGTCAATTGCTTAGTAAATTAGTTTAGAATGTTAATACAAATTCACACACTTTTTGTACAATGAGGTCAAGAGTAAAAAAGACAGACATGGTAAATGAAAACCCTCAAAGAGTTTATTTCCCATATGGGCATTTGAGGATTTTTGTGAGAGTAGTAGCTTTATTATTCTCTTTCTTGAGCTTTCAACTCTTAACAGAATGTGCGTTAACCTGTCAAAATGTGCAATGCTATTATTTACTTGTAATTAGTTAATGATTATGTCGTTTCCTTTGGCAGGCAATGCCTTAGCTAATGAAACAGCCTTCTAGTTGCTTTAAAAAAATACATATATAAACAATAGGGGAAAAAGCACTGGGAAGGCACGTGATAATTCTTTATTTTCCATCACATTAGCACATTAATGTGTAGTGAGCTTAAAGAAGTGGCATGAATAAGCTGCTACACTGTACTGTTGGTAATATTGACTTTTATGGGCAATTTAATTTTGTGTACAATATGATTTAATACAGTGCTGCTTTTCCAAAGATGTAATATAAAGGTGATCCTTGTTCAATAAAACACCAAAAGAAAATAAATCATTTCATCCCTCTTGTGATGGTTAAGGTTACTACAAATAGTACTACTGGTTGCTTTACTTTCACCAAGTAATCATTTTTAAAGTGAAAGGTGATAATTAATTAGCTGCAGCTAATTATTACTGAAAAATCTCATGTAGCTAATTGGGAGATGAGCATTTCAATTTAATGATAAAATTATTAAGATACTTTCCTCCTGTCATGAAAAATTAGAGGCTTGAAGTTTAAGAAGTTTGCAAGATTATTAAATTTATTTTATTTTTGTTTTTGCAATTTGAGAACTGAAAGAGAGTGGCTTCTTTTATTCTTGCATGTTGCAGATGATCATACTGATCTGGAAATCCAAGGCAGGTAACAGAACAAGTGATGGCTTATTGTGAAGAGTCTGTGTACTCCAAGTTCTACAATTCTCATGCCATCTGCCCCAGAGTTCATAAGCTTCCAGAAAACCTGAGGTTTTCAAGATAATGATGGTCAGTTTCTTTAAAATAAATAAATAAATAAATAAATAAATAAATAAATAAATAAATAAATGTGTGAATATGTTGTAAGAACAAGGCACATGTGTAATGAAGGCAAGTTTTATATGAACTGAGAAGGACTGGACCGTGAAATGATAAGATATTTAGAATTTTAACAGCCATGCATTATCTGAAACAGATGCATGTGAGGCTACAGTCTTAGAGAGAAGCTCTGGCAAATACTGAGAAGACAGAATTTTATTGTTCCAGACCTTCATTTATCTGCCAGCAGATGTCTCTATAAGGCAATAATATCTTATACCTAGAACAGCTGATTATGAAAATCACAAACTGATCCGCTCATCATATTTCCAAAGATCAATGGGATTAAATCCACTATGTACTTCAAAATGTTCCTAGAGATAGATAAAATGCAATGCAGTGCAAAAGTAAATTTAGTTTTACTCCTGAAAACCACATGAACAAATTTCTTTAAAAAAAAAAAATTCTAGACATCCCCAACCTTTATCAGCACTAAAACCACATTCCAAAATAAAATAAAATTTTTGGTTGTGTCTGTGTTATCAGTTATACTTTAAGTATTCATTGAATGAAAAATACTCAAGGTGCAAAAGTGATTGCATTCAGTAAAATGTTTCTTTAAATTTGTATTTGTAACTGGGAATATTCTCTTATACATTTGAAAAATAACATAAAAATTAATATATTTCTATGAGACATATTACTTAACTTGAAGACAATTCAAAATGCACATATAGATTGAGAGACTCTAGCAATAACTGAGACTTGCCAGGAGTCTGTTTATAAAAGTTATGAAGCAAAGTGTCTTCTATTCTATATTTTCATTCAGTAATATGCTACTTCTTGATGGATGGCAAACACTATAGAGAACAATTGTTGCAAATAAGTAAAAACTGGCTTACAAAGTGATTCCTTCATTGAAAAAAATATACTAAAATACAAAATCAATATCAATACTGATTAGCACTTCTATTAATATTTTTAGAAGTAAGTAGCTTCATTTGTTTTTCTCCTCTTTTTGAGAAGCAACTGCTATAGAGGCCAGAGAACTGATATATATGTAATAAAAGAAATTATGGGTTCTGAAACTAAACAAACTCAAATTTCTAACTATCTTTGCCACTTTCTAGCAGTGAATGTTAGGGTAAGTTACTCAACATCTAGCTTATAAATCCTCATTTAAAAATAATAGAAGGTACCTCATTGAATTAGGGCACCATTAAATATGATAATTTATGAATATGCTAACATATTATAAAGATTTAAAAAATGTTAGTTCCCCTCCTTCACATTCCTCAATCAGTTATTTTACATTTTAGGATCTCAGTAAATATTAATTGACTTACTTTTCAAGAGAAGGTGCAATCACTTTCTGTTATGTGAATTAGAGAATAGGTCATGTTCGTAGAAGAAGTAACACTGCTGCTGGACCTACATGGATTTTGTTAGACAAAAACAGATTACAAACAAAATTTTAAAAAATATTTTGAAATAGTAGACGTGTTTGAAACAAGAATTAGAATAGGCTGTGAATGTTCTATTGCTGAGCTCTTCTGTCTCCATGTAATTCATATACCCTAGGGACTTCCCTAGTGGTACGCTTGGTCGATATTGCAAGTCCTGGACCTACCTGGTTCATGTTTATGGACAATCCATTTCTTTCAGTGATAAGTAATTTAAAATACTATTTTATAACAAATGGAGTAAACAAAAAACTTTATACAAATTTTTAAGAGAAAATACAAGTCTTAAAATAAAAATGCTGTCGACATTGAAGGAGCCCAGAACATGCCACTCCAAAATATGGCACTCTGGCATATTGATTATTTTGAATTAAAGGATTTAGAACCACAGTAGATGCAAAAAGTCACTTTGCCATTCCTTCTTTTCTTCCTGAAAGCAGGAAATAAAATTTCCATTTATAAGTTGGCCTCCCAACACCTGGCTGGAAGGAAGACAGATGTGACTGCTCTGCTCTTGGACTTCTCAGCCTTTAGAACTGTGAGCCAAATAAACTTCTATTGTTTATGAATTATACAATCGCTGGTGTTCTGTTATAGCAATACAAAATGGACTATGGCAGTATGTATATGTAGTTGTGTGAATTTTTCTAAAAAAAATTCCTAGTTTTAATCAGATTCTCAAAGAAGTCCATCACTGCAAAAGAATTAATAATCACAAGTCTATACTGAGAGAACTATATATCCTTTCAGAAATTGTTTTTAATTATTTTATTCTTTTTTAATCACTGTTGAATTTTTTAGAAAAAGTGGGTGGTAGGTAGGACTCTGAAGCTGAGGAAGAGTTAGAATCATCTCAGAAAGGGGTAGAGAGAGAGGCAAAATGTAATAACAAGTGAAAAAAATGAGCAACATGAGAAAAACCCAAAACATGAAATCCCATGTGAAAAATGACTATGGAGGTGGTTGATTGCTAGGCAAAGACAGGTGTCTGATGGTAGCTGGATGAGAAGGTGATACATAGCAGAATGAGGGTGAGAGAACAGTGATGTATGTGAAGCAGTGGTAGGTTGGTAAGAGTAAGAGCATCCAGTGGTCACACAATGCTCTATAGGATATAACATGATAAAGACAATTTTCTAGGAAGGCTTTCTCATTTTTTATAGTACATAATTTAAACATTTTATAATAGCAAGTCACATTCTAATATTAGATATTTCCAGAAAAAGCTAGCCAGAAAACCTACTTTAACTTTTAGATCAACAAAGCATATTGCTGAAGGTTTTGAAGTTAATATTATCCTGCTAATAGCACACACATAATTAAAACTATAAATGAAAAGTAAGATGATAAATGAGGAAAAGGGAGGAAGAAGCAAACAAAAAAAAAGTTTGTTTAAAACTGAAAGAATAAGAAGAAAGAAAAAAAACATTTCTTAAAAGTCTGTGTACCTAATATTTCCATCTCAGATTTTATATCTTTTGGAAATTAAACTGGTCTTTACAAGTGGTTTATCATTAATAGCACAAAAGGAATGGATTATAAACTCTAAGCCATGAAGGTGAAATGAGGGAAATGAATTCCAGAGATCTGTCAGTAGACACTGAAGCAGGCTGCCAGGAATGCTCTCCCAGAAAGATGGCCACTTAAAAGAGAGCAAAGCCCCAGCACCCTGGGACCATTTTCATAGCCTTCTGCCTCCCCCTTTTTCTCATCTCCCCCTCACCTCCCCTCTGACCTACCAAGGTGAAGTAATGGAAAAAAATAAATCACCTTTGCAGTTTTCTTCCACCCTGATATTTGGAAATTCCTTGCATTCTTACTATCTACTCTCAAAAAGGAAAGATATTTAGTCAATATTCTTTCTTTTTTTTCAGGGAGTCCTCTGGCTTTCAGGCATTTTCAAACATATAATTAAGGAATGTTTTAAAGCTTGAGCAGCTCAGTTTTTAACACATACCCTTTTCATTTGAAATGCAAAATGCAGATGCTAATGAGGGTTTCCTTGTCTATCACCAGTTCTCAAGCACAGAGATATTAGATTTCAAATATCTTTGGATTATCTCTTTACATAGATAATGAAAAATTCTAGAGGTTCTAACTGTAAGGTAATTGTACCATTAATCACAGGCCACAAATCTTCACAATAAAGCTAGATTCATTATTTTTTACAGTGGGGTGGTAATAATTGAGCAAATGTCAAGCCTTGTTTATAGGACGGATGGAATGACCCAAATCTGTTTGAAGATTTCCTCTTACCTCTACCCTAATCACAATATATAGCTTGAGCCTTACCTCTAAGGAGTGAGCAGTTTTCTTGAAAGTACTAAATTATGATTGGAGAGCCAGAAAGAGCAGCTTGTGCCATGGAATGGGCCCTATAAAGATAGCACATTTCATAAGGAGGTAAATGGTATTGTGATTCTATTTCTAACTGCTCACTCAGCACATCTACCTTGATGCCCATGGGAACTTCAAACTCTGTATGTCTCAACCAAAAGTGTTACCTTCTTTATTCTTTATTGTATCACCCTCTGCCAAGTTACTTAGGAGCAAAACTTCAATATATCTCAGAAATGCATCGCATTCTCTCTTTTCCCTCATTTCCAATCAGTAGCCATGGTTTCTTTCACTACCACAATATTTTGAGATTTATGCTCTTCACCAATGCCTCTACTCTTATTCAGTTCCTTATCTCTACTGGTTTGAATTTTGTAAATAATCTCCTAGCCAACAGTTTCCTGCCCACTAGTGTACCTAATTAATGCAATTTTCTGGAGGTCATGCTTTGATCATACACCTTCACTGATAGTCCTCTCTCCAGGAGGTGGAGCTTAATCCATCCCCTGCCCCCAACACACATACAGCCAACCTTGGATGAGATTTAAAGACTCACTTATAAAGAACAGAGTAGGGAGAGGAAAAATAGTAACTTTATAATGGAATGACCTGGTGGACACTGCCTTAACAAATGATTGAGGTTAGTGCCACCAGTGATAAGTTATGTTGACTTCATATCCCCCTTAGTGATAAGAAGGGCACTTCACCTCTATGGTACTCTTCTCCAAAACCCATAACCCAAGTCTAAATAAGAGGAAATTCTACATTGAGGACATTCTCCAAAATACCAGCACCCTTCAAAGTTCTCAAAGTTGTGAAAAACTGAGAAACTGCTGAAGACTAGAAGACACTAAGGAGCCATGATGATAAAAGCACTATTACATCCCTGTATTGAATTCTGGAATAGAAAAACAAAAGACATTAGTAATTTACCAATGTTAGTTTTCTGGTTTTGTTAATACATGAAATGTTAACATTAGGGGAAACTGAGTCAAGGTTTATGAGAACTCTGTAATATTTTTTCAACTTTTCTCTAAATCCTGTTATTTCAATATAAAACAGTTTATTTAAAAAATACCTCATAGATTCATGATGCTCAAATACAGTTGTGTATAAATACTATTGGGATAACTTTTCAAAAACATATGTTCCAGGGCTACATCCTTGATGATACTGATTCTGTTGGTCTGGACAGGGTTCAAGAAGCTGTATTTTTTTTAAAGAAGATATCCAAAAGATTCCAATATTCTACTAAGTCTGGGAATCACCAACCTACAGAATTAAACTGTGTAGATCTCACTATCCCTGGAATTTGTGGGCAAAGTGAGTCTTTAAATGCTCATATTCTTCCCTCACAACCAGAAAATAATTCCATCTTTGCTTAGCTCACAGGGTTTCTAGAACTCTCATATTTGCTTCAAATATATTGTTCACTCATCATCTTTACTATCTCTTTTTCTGCTTCTTTGGAAGGAAACACAAGTTGAGATGTGAAAATTCTCAAGTAGTGGAGTCCAGCCCATTCTAAATTTAGCTCTTTCCTAATGAGGAACCCATATATGTAATGACAGACAGTTTAGATTAAACAGATCAATTCTTTGAAAATAAAGATTTTGGTACTCCCAGTTTATGGATTCACCAAAGCCCTGATAAGTATTGTCCATCACACCTGCTTTAATAAATAGATAAGAACCAAACTAAGCTGCCCTTTAATATTATAGAATTTAAGCAAATAGAAGTTGCTTTTGATTTCAGACAATCTGTAGTCCCTTGATAGCTTAAATAGTGCTCTTTTTCTTGTTAGTGAAAGTAGCATGGATTTCCACATATCTTATTTGATTTAATCCTCAGAATAACCCTGTGAAGTAGGTAGCTATCAATTCCACTTCACAATGAGGCAATTTAGGCACAGAGAGGTTAATTAATATGCCTGAGGTCATACAGCTAGTAAGTGGTAGGGCCAGGCGCACATCTGGGATGTTGACACCCAAGGGCTACTTTCTGATCCACTGCGATGTACTTTTGCCCTATGGAAATATGCTTGGCAAAACTTTAAAGCAATGAAATAGACTTTGTTATACCAGTTGGGCCCAGACTATCCTCAACACTGAAATGGTTAAATCAGTGTGCAGTGTGCATAGATGTCTACCATCTGCACAACAGTTAGCCTAGATGTATAATATATTTTTCCATAGCTTTTAATTTTTTAAAAATTATGCCCAATGTTATGTATGTGTATGAGTGATTGTTCTTTCATGCCTCTTTGATATGCTACATTTGATTCTTATACACTAGGCAACTGTCCTGGGTCTGAGAAATTCCCCAAGTGTGGGAAGATCTGGGGTTCAAGGCAGTATATTTTGAATGTCAGAATAGTTGTCTGGTGGTAAAGGAGTAACATTAAAAAACGGTCACTTCTTTTTAAAGTGTAAAGAAAGTTAGGTAGAAAACATCACAGTCTGACAGCAACTAACTTTCTAACTCTAGATCTCTTGAAAACTAACTACACTAACCTCTCATCTCTACGAAATGACTGGGTATTTTTGGTTGTGAATTTCACAAAACAAATAAATGAAACAAGCCTGTATTGTCATTCCTGAATAACTCCAGTTTATTACAATGAGGAGAACACCTGTTTAAAAAATATTCTGGGTGATAAATCACAGAAGGTTGCATTAATCAAGGCAGCCTAAAGCTGATAAGTGCAATTATGGATTTGTCACCCTAGGGAAATATCTTGATCAAGGCTCCTCAAACCCCAGCATAAACATCCCTGTAAACCTCAAATTCTTGCCCAAAGACGGCTGCACCTAATTTGGGGTCTTAGCACATCTTTTCCTTAGGGTATTGAAAGCCTTCTGGCAGGGCTTTATCCAATATCCACAGTAATGAAACCTTGTTCTGGTGAGATCTATTAATGGTACGATGATGGAGTACCTCTACTACCAATTGGCAGCAATCTTCACACATCACAAGTGAAAAGAAACAAAAATAAAAACAACACTTGAGTTCTGTCTTCTCCTATTCTCATATATATTTTACATCAATGAGTGGATGGAAACTAGCTGTATCTCACCATTCAGATAGATGCCTACACTTACCTTAATTGATTGTTTTAAAATGCTATAAAATAGACCTTTTAAGGGAGTATTCAAAAAAGTATGAACAAATATATTT